TTTGGTATGGGGGATTGAACTTGGGCCTTGGCACTCGCAAGGCAAGCAGCGGAACCCCTAAGCTAAATCCCCAGCCCCAATCAGGCATTTCTAATGAGCCTGCAGTGTGACCCTAGAATCTAGACTGTCACCCCTGGCAGGCAGTGGCATCACTGAGCTAAATCCCCGGTCAGACTTCTGACTCTGACTGTTTTTTTTTTTTTTTTCTGGTAATGGGATAGAACTCAGGACCTTGCTCTTTTGAGGCAGGCATGGCACCACTGAACTAAATTCCTGCCTCTTAGACTCCTGACTCTGAAGCCCAGGCTGGTTCTAAACCTTGGGTCAGGGAGAATAGAAGATTGCAGCATCCCACCTGTGCTCATGGCAGACATCAGTAATCAATCCTGGCATGGCAGACATTGCTAATCACTTGCAGCCCTCTTTTCTGATAAGCTCAGAGGCAGCTTCAAATTCCTCAAGACAGCACCCAGGCATTATCTTCTATCAGAAGACCATATCTATAATGTTTGCCATCCTCATGAGCCCACATCTTTAGCTCTGAGCCCTCAGAACTCAGGCACAACCTCAACATGCTCTTGCTGCCAATCCATAGGCTCCTACACACCACATGCTGCTTCTGATAGGAGGTACTAGCTCTTCTAACAGATGCCCTATCTGAGCCCACTCTCCCCTCACAGACAATAACCCTGTGGTTTGCCAGGAGTTTCCGGGTTTTTGAGGTCTTCAAAAGAAGATCTTGTGATGAACCATTTCAAATGTCTTTGGGCAACAATGCCACAGAGCCACTTGAACACCACAGATCAACAGAGTCCCCGTGTCTGTCCCCCTCAGCCCATCCCCTCTCTCTCCTGCCATCATACTCTGAATTTTGTTTCTCATTCCCAGGTGTATACCTTTATTACCTGTGTACACATCCATATTATTAACCCCTATAGACACCTTATCATAATGTTCAGATCTCGTTGCAGCTTGCTATGTATATAAATCAGGCGCTTTGGACAGCTTTGTTGTGTTTGGTTGGTACTGAGGATTCAACCAAGAACCTCTGTTCTCCCCCCACTTACCCCACCCCTTGGTATCGGGGATCAAACTTGGGACCTTGCACTTGCAAGGCAGGCGATGGAACCACTCAGCTAAATCCCTGGCCCTTCAACCTAGAACCTTTGCACTGAACTACATCCTTTTTTTATTTCTTATTTTGAGATAGGATTTTGGTAAATTGCTAAATTCCCCAGGCTGGGCTTGAATTTGCAATCCTCCTGTCTCAGCCTCTCAAGAGTGCTGGGATTACAGGCCTACACTACCATACCCAGCTTGTTTTGGACTTTTTGGCCTGATGATAAACTTGGTTTCCAATCTCCCACCCCATCATAATTGCAGATGTTTATTTAGGTCTTACTCTGTCCATATGAGGCATGATCTTGGGTGTCTCACTTGCCTTAACACATATCTTCACAACAAAATTATTTGATCCTCATTTCACAAATTAGGTAACAGCAGGGGCCGGGGATTTAGCTCAGTGGTGCCACTGCCTGCCTCGCAAGCTCAAGGACCCGAGTTCGATCCCCGGTACCAAAAAAAAAAAAAAATAGGTAACAGCACAGGAAGGTGAAATTACCTACCAAGGTCACACAGCTTGGAAGCTGGGCTGCTCACCCCAGACTGTCCCTTCCACTACTTTATGGTCCGTGGTGTGAAAGCAGTACTTTTCCATCTCTTCTGTTTAAGGAACATTGCTCATTTCTGAAGACGTGCTTTGACATTGATCTCAGAGGGTTTGGAGTGGTTGTATTATCTCCTTTAATTCCTACATCGAGCCTGGGAATTTGTACCTCCCCACCCATAGCCTTTCCAGGTGAGATAACCAGGACTCAGAGAGGGTAAGTCACTTTCTAAAAGTTGCTCGGCTCCGATGTGAGTTGTGAACCTCGGTTCCCCACAGAACACAGGGGCTCTCTCATGGCCCACATGAACTCTGGGACTGCCCTGGCTTCTCTTTTTGGCTTCTTTCCTCCCCAGAATCCTCCCCACACCTGGCTTTGTCTTCCCTCCTCTCCCTCTTTTATACAGTCCTGCTTCCAGAGAAGGGGCCCAACCGGAAGGCCAGTTCCAGTTAGGAAGTTCCAGCCACGTGAGCCACCCTGAGCCAGGGATTCGGAGCAGCCGGTGGCTTTAGGAGAAACTGAAACTGGGCTTGCCGGGGGCGGAGTGGTCACTGGGGTTTAAAGAGCCACCACTTCCTTGGCTTCCCAGAGGGCACTGGGAGGTCACAGCTGCCGAGGGACCTTGGGGATCTGCGGGACTCTCTGTTCCTCCCGCTTGAGCCATGCACCTCTGCCAGGGAGACGCACTGCTGGCCGGAACGGTGAGTACGGGAAGCCAGGATGGGGGTGAGAGAGGGAATGTGGCCAGGTGTGGTGACCCGCGCCCAGAGCTCTGGGGCAGCAGGATCACAAGTTCAAGTTCAAGGCCAGTGTAGGCAGTTTAGTGAGACTCTGTCTCAAAATTTTAAAAGAGAACGGTGGGGTGGGGGTTGGAGATGTAGCTCAGTGCAAATCCCTGAGTCCAATTCTTAGCATAGTAAAGAAAAAAAAATGGGAGAAAAATGGGAAAATGTACTCAGGGGTCCCAGGGCTCAGGAAGGGAAAGGTGCCATCCAGAGCTCCTGTCCCAGCTCTGTGTCTGTGGATGTGTGGCTTTAGGCAGGCTCCACACGCCCCCTCTTTGGCTCTCTTTTCCTCCCCTGGGATAGGAGGGGATTGGGATGAGGCTCTCTGGCTCTCGTGCTGCAGATCCTGCCTTGGTTTAGAACCTGGACTCCATCTACCTGCCCTTCCCCGCCCACTGGCTCTCCCTCCTCCACCCCGCCTGTACAGTCTCCCTTTATAGCCTCCTCATCTCTCCAGGTCCTTGCCCGGCCTCTAGTCTCCTGGCCCTCCAGGGTTTCAATGCACCAGCTGTGGCCATGAACCCCTCAAGGCTCTAGCCAGCGGGGAGCTGTACCTATGACCAAGGAGCATCCAGAGTCCTTGACCAGGAGGGCCAATATCCTCGCTGGGACCCTGATACTCAGTCTCCCCCAAGATTAATAGGGGTGTCAGCTATGAGGTCTTCACCAGTCCCTTTTGCCTTGACTTTCCAGAGCTCTGGACACCTGGATTAAATATTTCATCTAAGTTCTGTGGTCCCCAGAGTTCAGGGAGCTCACAGCTGCCAACCTTGGGGCCCACTCCGCTCTTAGAAAGGACTTCTCATTCATTCCTTCTGGGCTACTGCCCATCGCTATGTGAGCGGTGTGAGGGCCGGGACTCTTGCCTGTTTGCTTGCTGCTGTGTCCTCCTAGCTAAGTGCCCAGTACACAGTAGGTGCTTAACGAATATTTAAGTAACTGAATGTCAGCTTTGGGCCTCAGCTGGACACAGGCATATGGAACCTAACCAGCTCTTTTGCTGCCCTCATGAGCTCTTGGGAAAATCAGCAACACCGTGATGGGGAGGTGACAGCAGTGGGAAGGACAGTGCTGCCCTTCATTAACCCTGCGGCTCTGGGCTACCTGCTGCAAGGGCTTCCCTCTTCCATGCCTCTCAGGGGCCCACGAGGGAGAGACCGTGGAGCCTCCATGGTACAAAGGAAGCAGCTGGGCCCGGAGAAGAGAGTAGCCCTGAGAGACATGGCTCGGGGATGTGCAGTTGGAAGTCAGTTCTGCCTGTGTCTAAATCCTCACTGCCCACCCCAGGAGCTGTGAGCAGGACTCTGGGTGACACTGGCATCACAAGGTGTGCAGTTCCTGCAGGGGCAGGAGTGCAGGTGCTAAGGGAGCCAGAGGGGCTTCTGGGAGGACAGGGGACGCGGCTCTACACATGGCTATATAGGGTGCAAGCCCCTGATAGGACCCCTGAGCCCTCTGCCCATGTTCAGCAGGACCCCAAGGAGTGTCAGAAGCAGCTGAAAAAGAAACAGAAGAACCGGGCAGCTGCCCAGCGCAGCCGGCAGAAGCACACGGATAGAGCAGATGCCCTGCACCAGGTGGGGACATCCCCTTCGTCCATTTCCTGCTGCTCTACCTGAATACCACACACTAGGGTATTCATAACCTAGGACGGTGCTCCATTTAGTGGAGAAGTCCAAAGAGCACAGTGCTGGCATCTGGCTGGAACCTGACCAGTGCCTTCCTTCTGAGTCAGGGCAAGACGAGAGCATCACAGGAGAGGCAGCAGGGGAGCCAGAGAGAGCACCTCATGCCGCCCCGAAGCTCACAAACCCACGAATCCACGGGTGGGTCACTTCGTCCTTAACAGTGACTTCTACTCCATAGTCCACCCTTCCTCACCAGATTAGGAATGCCACGAGGTGAGGAGGCTATCCCATTCCCTGCCATTTCCCCAACACCTCGAAGATGGCCTGGCAGGGAGTTGACGACAGGATAAAGCATCCCGAGCACAACTAGGTAGAAGGGACACATGCATCTGTAGACTGGCAGGCTTAAAGGACATTTATTTCTCAAATTCTGGGGACTGGGGTGGTCAGGGTCAAGGTGTTTCTGGGTTTGACCTTGAGGGTTGTCTTCCTGGTTTATGTAGTAGGTGGCTTCCTTCTTGCTAGGTGTTCACAACTTTCCTTCTTGGCTGTGAGAGAAGAGGAATCCTATTCCCTTCCGTTTTTTTTTTTTTTTTTTTTTTTTTTTTTTTTTTTGTCTCTAAAATAGTCCAGACGGGCCTCAAACTCAGAGAACCTCCTGCCTCAGCCTCCTGAGTGCTGGGATTACAGGGGTGTACCACCACACCCAGCTGTCCTTTCATCTTTTGATAAAAGCCACCAGTCCTGTCCAATTAGAGCCCTGCCCTTGTGACTTCAATTAAAATTACCTCTTAAAAATTGTGTCTAAATACAGTCACACACAGGGTTACCACTTTAGCATATGAATCTTGGAGGGATTTGATTCGGTCCTTAGTACATATGTAGTGTGATGTAAGGTGATGTAGAGAGGAAATAAAATCTGAACTGGTCTTGAGGAGTGAATAGGAGTTTTCCAAGGGGATGAAGGTAAGAAAATGCACTGAGGCCAGGCATGGTGGTGAGACCCTGTTTCAGAAAAGAAAAGAAAATGCATTGTGGGCACATGAAATTGTGCTGGCACAGATACATTTGGGGCAGCATCCTGCAGGCAGGGCATGAAGGAGCTGGCGCCTGGAAAGAGCTTTCACTAACCCATTGCTTCTGGAAATGTCCCTTGAGGGTCTCTCACGTGACAGGCTCAGCTCTCAGCACTGGAGGGCAGCTGTGAAGACAGCAGGCGAAGTCTCACCCCTACCCAACAGAGCTCATATTCACATAGAAACCAGATGAATAAGTGACCCATCAAGCATTCAGGATTTTCTGCGATGTAGCTCATCGGCACAGCACCTGTCCGGCAAGCTCAAGGCCCTGAGTTCGACTCCCAGTACAAAACAAAAACCAGGGTTTAGTACATCCGAGGGTAATGAGTCCTGGGTGGCATGGGGAGTAAAGCCAGTAAGAGGAGGAGAGGGTGGGCTGGCATGTGATAGGTGGATCTGGAGAGCCCTCCCTGAGAAGCGACGTCTGACCACGAGCTGAAAATGGAAAATGAATGAGTGAGTGACTCACTTCCGGGGGTGAGTTGAAGGCTTGCAGGATTTAGGAGAAGAGAGATGCAAGGATATGCATTGAAAATCCTCATTCCAAAGCCCTATGTGATGGTACAAGGCTGTCGTCTCTGCCTTCAGTAGGCTGAGGCAGGAGGATCAGGAGTTTAGGGCTAACCTGGACTTAAACAAAATAGGAAGGATGGAAGAAAGAAAGAGGAAGAGGAAGGGTAGAAGGAAGGAAGGAAAGGAGAAAGAAAGAAAGAGAGATGAAGAAGAGAGAAAGGTGGGCCGTGGCCAGCGCTGGGGATGCAGCCTAGTGGCACAGAGCTTGCCTAGTATGTGCAGAATGCTAGGTTTAATCCTCGGCACCAGAACAAACCATTTCCTGTCCAGAAGGCAGCCTGCAAGTGGATCCACTGATGGCACTGACGCAGTTCTCTTTTTTTAGCATCCTGGAAAGGGGATGAAGGAAGCTGTTCAAGTTATTCAGCCTTATGAGATATGGAAATAAGATTTTCTTTTTCTTTTTCCACCACTGTTGCCATCAGGAATGGTGATTTAGAGGGGTACACGTGGACGGCTGTCCGGTGTTCTTGGAAGCAGGTGGTGAGCAGTCCGGACTTGCTGCTGGCCGACTCAGGCATATCCAGGAGAACACCATACCCTGACTTCCCCTGACAGTGCCTTGGTCTGTGGATTGTGGGAAGCCCTGGCAGGGGCGTTACACACAGTCAAGGTGCCCAAGACAGAACAACACTGAAGCTGCCATGGGAAAGCTGTGTCAGGACTAGCTCGGGGGTGGGAGGGTGCGGGACAGTGTCCAGGGACTGGAAGTGTGTTGAGGAAGTAGATCCCAGCTAAGGGACGGGAAGCCAGGGCAAAAAGACAGATGGAGCCAGTGGTCTGAGTTTAGCTGGGTGTGGTGGTACACACCTGTAATTCCAGCTATTCAAGGAGGCAGAGGCAGGAGAGCCTCGAATTCCAGCACAGCCTAGGAAATTTAGTGATACCCTCTCAAAATAAAATTAAAAAGGAAAGCAAGGCTGGGACTCAGTGGTGGAATACTTGCCTAGTATATGCAAGCCCTGTTCCATCCACAGGACAACAGCAACAAAGTTCACCCTACTATAATGACACATTTGCTAATGGCTTTTCTGGGCCAGGAAAATGGGGTGGTTTGGGTACACTCCATTTGGGAGAATAGAGGAAGTCCTGAGTGACCGGTGGTGCTGGCTCAAGGGACTAGCAGCAGGCACAGAACAGGGCAGGGCGGAGCCTTGCCAGGGCATTGTTTGTTTGTTTGTTTGTTTTTGGCACTGGGGATCCAACTCAGGACCTTGCGCTTTCAGAGGCAGGCAGTGGAACCACCGAACTAAATCCTGGCCCTGCCAGCGCGTTGGATGGGGAACTTGTGGGTGGCAGCAGGGGGCTGGCCGGCCAGAGGGCAGCCAGGGGGCTCTGTCCTGGACACTCGGAGGTAGCAGCATCTTTCCCTTGCAGTGAGGACCCTGGAGGGGGCAGTAGTTACATGAGGCCCTGATGCTGCCTGACACCCCTCGTTTCTCCCCCAGCAGCACGAGTCCCTGGAGAAACACAACCAGGCCCTGCGGAAGGAGATCCAGGGCCTGAAGGCTGAGCTGGCTCAGTGGAGTCAGACCCTGCACCTGCATGAGCACCTGTGCCCCAGGGTCTGTACCCCTGGCCTGGCTCCTGAGCCCCCCGACTGCTGGGGTCAGGCCAGGTGGCTCTTGGGACAGCTTGCTCCCCAGGGACAGCACAGCTGCCAGGAGCAGCCAGGTCTCTTCCAGACTCCAGTCTCCTGTCTGCCAGTCCAGCAACCGCACCCAGATCCACAGCCTCAGGATCCCTGCGGCTTCCTCCCAACCCCTCTGTCCTTGCTGTCTCTCAGCCCTGCTGTGGGGACCCTACCTCCTGCTCAGACATCCCCCAGCCAGCTGGGCTCTCCCTCCAAGTTCAGTGGCCTCTTGCCAAGCCCCCAGCCCAGGCTGCCCCTCCACAGCCCCTTGGGCAGGTGTCCCCCGGCAGGGGGGAGCTAGGGTCCTCTCTAGGGCCTGAATATCTGCAAAGCAGGGAGCATAAGCCTGGTCCGTTGGCGGCAGATTGGTCCGGGTTGGCCTTGGATCCCAGACAACAGGCTCTGAAGGCCTTCCCGCTGCTGGCCTCAGCTGGGGTCCTCTTCTGACCTGGGCCCGGAGTGTGGCTGCCCCACCTCAGGCTCAGGAAGCAGTCACCACACACCAGCCTCTGCTGCCCTGCTGCCACCCTTCCTGAAGACCAACCGGCCCACGGTTTCACTGGAGAAAGGAAGCTGCCGTTGACTGCCTGCTGTGGTAGCCTCTGTCACTGCCACTATCTTACTGCAACCCCACAGTCACCCTGCACAATTGCGATTAAAACTTTGCTTTTTCAGAGAAGCCATGTGGTATGTCCAGTCACGCAGCCTTTCTTTTCATTATTATTTTTCACACAGCCTTCATGGGGCCTCAAGCATGACCCCCTCGCTCCTCTGTCCTCTGGCGGGAGTCTGGTCTGCAAGCCTGAGGGGCCGAAGTCCTGGAAGGGAGGCGCAGTGTGAGCAGTGTTGCCAGGTGCAGGGAGACTCAGCTCTGCTTTGGGATCCCGGTCCTGGCTGGGGACAATCGAAAGTCCAATCCTGGGTGGGGAGAGTCCAAGCAAAAGCCCAGAAGCGCCTCCTGCTTCTTCCAGCAGTGTGTCCAGGGCCAAGACCCAGGCTGTGCAGCAGAGGTCTGTCACAGGCTCCTCTGCCTGGGGACTACTGGACGGGGTCCTCCCCCAGGGCCCAGTGGTGGACGCTGAAAGCAAAGGCAAGGGGCAGGAATGAGGGGTGGGCCAGGTGCAAGCCGGGGACTTGAATCTGCATCAGACGGGGGCTGAGCCTTCTCCAGTGGCACCGCAGCCCTGTGCAGCCCCCAACATCCTCGGGCCCCCAAGGCAGCCTCCAGGGGTCTGGCTGATGGCAGCTGGAGGAGCAGGGCCTATGCCTTTGCCAAGGGTGGGCCCACTGACACTCCGAGGAGGTGCGCCCAGGTGGCTGGGGTTGAACCCATTCACATAATAGAGACACTGTCCATGTTTAACACACTCCTGGGTGTGAGCACAAGGCTCAGCACATGTGATGTTAAATAAAGTGTTTTTCAGTCCTTGTTGCTTGGCCAGTTGTTTAAAGCTCCAGTTACATAGAGAAGTCTTTGGGGAAAACAAAACAAAACAAAAATAGACACGGCGTGGTCATGCATGCCTGTAATCCCAGCATTAGGGAGGCTAAAACAGGAGGATCACTGTAAATTTGAGGCCAGCCTGGGTTACATAGTGAGATCTTGTCTCTTTTTCTCCTCTATCCCCCACCCCTCACTCTCTCTCTCTCAGCAGGGTGTTATTATGCAGTTTGGGCTGGCCTTGAACTCACTCTGTAGCTGAGGCTGGTCTCAAACTTGCAGTGATCCTTCTGCCTCAGCCTCCTGAAAGAGACCCTGTCTCCAAAAATAAATAAATAAAAGAAAGGGTCTAATTATGTCTAAACTTTGGCTTGCCTGGGTCCCACTGAGTGAAGAGGAATTGTCTTGGATCACATATAAAATATATAATGTGGTTACTGTACATAAATTACAAAACTTTATTTTTAAAATATTTTGTCAGGTGTGGTGGTGCATGCCTGTAATCCTGGCACCCAGGAGGCTGAGGCAAGAGGACCACCACTGAGTTTGAGGCCAGCCTAGGTTACACAGTGAGTTCAAAGTCAGCCTGCACTACATATGGACACCCTGTCTCAAAAAATAAAACAAGGGCTGGGGATTTAGCTCAGTAGTTTCACCACAAGTAGTTGCAAACACAAGGTCCTGAATTCCATCCCTGGTACAAAACAAAAACAAAAAAAAGTAAATAAAATAACAAGGGATAACAAGGGCTAGGGATGTAGCCCAGTGGCAGAGTGTCCTTGGGAAAGAAGAAAGAAAGAAAGAAAGAAAGAAAGAAAGAAAGAAAGAAAGAAAGAAAGAAACTCAGTAGTTTCACCACAAGTAGTTGCAAACACAAGGTCCTGAATTCCATCCCTGGTACAAAACAAAAACAAAAAAAAGTAAATAAAATAACAAGGGATAACAAGGGCTAGGGATGTAGCCCAGTGGCAGAGTGTCCTTGGGAAAGAAGAAAGAAAGAAAGAAAGAAAGAAAGAAAGAAAGAAAGAAAGAAAGAAAGAAAGAGAAAGAAAGAAAGAAAAGATCGGCGTGGTGGCACACATCTGTAATCCCAGCACTCAGGAGGCTGAGGCAGGAGGATCACTGTGAGTTCGAGACCAGGCTGGGCTACACAGTGAGTTCTAGGTCAGTCTCAACTACATAGTGAGACCCTGTCTGAAAAAGAAAAAGAAAAGAATAGAGAGAAAGAAAAAGAAATTGTCTTGGCTTACATGCCCCTGGAGTTCTAGAGTTTGGCGAGTCCAAATTCTGCAGCAAGCAGGAAACCCAGGAGAAAGCTGATGGTGGAGTTCAAGTCCCGAAGGCACCTGTTGCAGAATTCATTCTGGTCTGAGCAGAGGGTCAGTCCTTTTGTTCTATCCAAGCCATCACCTGATTGGAGGAGGCCCGCTCACATGGTGGAGTAAATGTGCTCCAGTCAAAGTCCACAGCTCGTGGTGCTGATTTTATCCAAAACTATGCTCACAGAAACATGCAGAATAACATTGGAGCACACGCCTAGGGACCATGACTCAGCCAAGATGACACAAAATTAATTTCCACGCTAGGATCACAGGGCAAAGGTAGGTGGCAGGTTGTGAGCTGGAGCCACAGGCAAGTTCAAGGAGAGCAAACTGACAGGAAGCAGGGACCAAGACACTGTTGATCGGAGGTGGCCTGGTGTCTGGGACAAGAGCTGGCACTAGACTGGAGTGGGACTCAGTGGGGCTCAGGCACCGTGGTCCAGTTGGTGTCTAGACAGCTGTGATCACTAACAGTCACTCAGTGACACTCTAAGAACCCTGTGAAGTAAATGTGGTTGTCCCTGCCGTTCAGAAGGGGAAACTGAGGTCCCTCATTTAAATAACAAGCTCGAAGTCACACGGCTGGAAAGTGGAATAGCTGTGCTTCAACAGGGCTTAGCTTGCTTTTGAGAGTCTCTGTACCTTTTTTCTTTCCAGTTTCTTTCTTTGTTCTGTTTTTTGAGACAGGGTCTTGCAGTGCAGTCCAGGCTGCTGGCTTCGAACGCGAGGAGATCCTCCTGCCTCAAATTCCTGGGTGCTGAGATTACAGGAGTGCAACATCACGCCTGGTTTAAAATTTTCTTTTTTAAGAGAGGATCACATTAAGTTGCCCAGGTGGCCCTGGAACTTGCTATCGTACTGCCTCAACCTCCCTAAATTCTGAGATTACAGGTATGCACCATCCCACCTGGATTTTTTAAAAATGTATTTTTATGATAGTCATTCTGACTGGGGTGAGATGGAATCTCTCTTTTTTTTTTTCTTTTTTGGTTGTTTCTTGTTGTTGGTTTTCTGAGACAGAGTCTAGTTATGTAGTTCAGGCTGCCCTTGAATTCACTGTGTCTCCCAGGCTGACTCTGAACTCTCAGCGGTCCTTCTGTCTCAGCCTCCCTAGTGCAGGGATTACAGGCATGCGCCTTGGTGTGGTTTTGATTTGCGTTTTCCAAATAGCTAAAGATGTTGACCATTTTCTTTCGTATACTTACTGGCCATTTGTATTTCTTTTTTGGGAAGGGGGTACTGGATTGAACTCAGGACCTCGCTCTTGTAAGGCAGTTGCAGTGCCACTGAGCTAAATCCCCAGCCCCATTTGTACTTCTTCTGAGAATTATCTGTTGTATCCATTTGCCCATTAGTTGACTGGGCTGTTACGTTGCTGTTCAGTATGCATGTATGTATGTACGTATTTATTTTTGGTACCCGGGATCGAACTCAGGTCCTTGTGCTTGCAAAGCAGGAGGCAGAAACACTGAGCTAATTCCCTGACCCTGTATTTATGTATTTATTTATTTATGCAGTACCAGGATTGAACGAAGGGGTGCTCTATCACTGAGCGACATCCTCAGACCTTTATTTTTATTTTGAGACAGGACCTCACTACGTTACCCAGGCTGGACTTGAAATCGTGATCCTTCTGCCTCCGTCTCCTGAATAGGGGGGATTACAGGTGCGTGCTGCCACACCTGGCTCTGAGTTCTTGATATGTTCTAGATGTTTATCCTCCATCACAAGAATAGCTGGCAAGGATTTTCTCTCAGTCTGTGGGTAGGCTGTCTCTTCACCTTGTTGATCATTTCTTTTGCTGTACAGGTGGTTTTTTCACTTGATGTAGTTCTATTTGTTGATTTTGCCAATATTGCCTGTGCCATTAAATCTTATTCAGGAAGTCTTTGCCTGTACCTGTGACTTTTTTTTTTTTTTTTTTTTTTTTTTTTTTTTAGATTGAACTTGGGTCCTTGTGCTTGCAAGGCAGGCCACCGAACCGCTGAGCTAAATCCCCGGCCCCTACCTGTGACTTAAAGTGTGTCCCTTATGCTTTAAAAAACTTTTTTTTGGGGGGACAGGTCTTGATGGTCTTGAACTAGCAGCAATTCTCCTGTCTCAGCCTCTCGAGTACTGGGATTACAGTGTGTACCACCATACATACTCTGCTCCTCTATGTTTGGGTTTGTTTTTTCTTGGAATTTTCAAGGTTTAAGGTCTTATACTTAGGTCTTTGGTTCTTCTTCTTCTTCTTCTTCTTTTTTTTTTTTTTTTTTTTTTTTTTTTGCTTCAGTGCTGAGGACTGAACCTAACGCCTTTACACTGAATTGCATTTCTAGCCCTTTAAAATTTCTAAATTTTGAGACAAGATGATACTAAGTCACCAAACTGTACAGACTGGGCTTGAACTTTCTTTTTTTTTTTTTTTTTAAAGACAGTCTCACTATGTAGTTGAGACTGACCTGGAACTCACTATGTAGCCCAGGCTGGTCTTGAACTCACAGCGATCCTCCTGCCTCAGCCTCCTGAGTGCTGGGATTACAGGCATGCGCCGCCACACCTGGCTGGATTTGAATTTTCGACTCTCCCGTCTCCAACTCTCAGAGTGCTGGGATTGAAGGCATGTGCTACTACACCCAGTTATTAGGAATAGATTTTTTTTGCAGGGTGAGAGACAGTGATCTAGTGTTAGTCTTCTACAAGTGGATAGCCAATTTTCCCAGAACTATTTGTTAATGAGACCATAATTTCCCCAGTATATTTTTGGTCCCGTTGTACAGAACCAGCTGGCTGTTGTTACATGGGTCCATTTCTGTGTCCTCTATGCTATCCCATTGGTCTATATGTCTATTTTTATGCCTTTACATACTGTTTTGTCACAATGGCTTTGTAGTATATTTTGAAATTGGGAATTGCAATACCTCTAACACTCCCTTTTTGGGTTTTTTGTTTGTTTGTTTTTGGTACCAGATATTGAACTTGGGACCTTGTGTATGTGAGGCAGGCACGGTGCCACGGAGCTGCATCCCCAGCCCTCCAACCTTCTCTTTTTGCTCGGTTGCTTTGGC